AAAAAAAAAAACTTTAAATGAAAATATTTTATCAAAAAAAAAAAAAAAACCTGCCTATAAGGTTTCCAGAACTTCTGTCATTCTCTGGCACTTATCCACACAATTTTTTTTTAAATTACTTAAAAGGATTTATTGTTTAGGAATGCTGTTATAAAGTTGAAAAAGGAAAAAAAAAAAATCCCAAGTTGTCATTCGGTCTTAGGAAGAAACTAGGTACAAAGAAGTATGTGTGAGGTCCAGGAGAGAAAGACTGGTCTCTGTGTGAGACCAAAGCCAAACCCACAAAGTAAACTGTTGCTGCAACACAGAGACACACCTGATCTCCAAGCCTGAGGCCACAGGCAAAACTGACAAGGAGATCCTCCTCTCAGTTACAGGAGGAAATTGAGGAAGTAAGAAAGAGCCAGCGACAGGGTAGTGCACGAGGCGTCCTCTAAGGCCCCCGTGAGTATCACCAGAAGTGATGAAATGGGCCTCTGACTGAGGCAACAATAAATTAATCAGCCAGGTGCAGTGGCTCACACCTGTAGTCACCAGCACTCAGGGAGGTTGAAATGGAAGGATCATCACACTTGCACCCAGGAGCTTGAGATAGGCTTGAGCAACATAGCAAAACACTGCCTCAAAAATAAATAATAATAAAAAATAAATCCAACACCTTCAGAAAAGCAAATGGTTTTTTAATGTCCACTTTAATGTCTACTCTATCCTCCACGCGATGTGCCAAAAACCAATGGGGTAAATCCCTTCACGCACTGGGAGAATTTAAAAAGTCAAAGTCCTACAGGGCATGCTATCTGGCAACCCAATCTGGTATACTCCCAACATCTCACAAAGCATCCCCTCAAATATTTATCCCTTTTATTGGCAGTAATAGAGTTTGAACTCAGGGCCTTGCACTTGCTAGGCAGGCACTCTACCACTGGAGACATACCCTCAGCCCTTTTTTGCTTTAGCTATTTTTTGGTTAGGGTCTCGAGCTTTTGCCCAGGTCTGGCCTCAGATCTTCCTACATATGCCTCCTGTGTAGCCACTGTGTCTAGCTTGTGTGTGTGTGTGTGTGTGTGTGGCACTGGGGTTTGAACTCAGGGCCTCATACTTGCTAAGCAGGTGCTCTACCACTTGAGCCACACTGTGAGTTCCAGCTTGTTTGTTGAGAAAGGTCTTGCTAACTGTTTGCCCAGGATGGCCTCAAACCATGATCCTCCTGATCTCTGCCTTCCAAGTAGCTGGGATTATAGGTGTGAGCCACTGAGCCTAGCTATTTACCATTTCTTTACAGTGAAAACATTCAAACTCCTCTCTTCCAGCTTGATCATACATTTGACTTGATTTAAACATGACACAACATATAAATATATCAAAACATTACATAGTTTCAATATGCAAAACTTTTATGTTTTTATGTATCAATTAAAAACAAATTTAATTTAAAAATAAAAATAGGCAGGGGATGAAGCTCAGAAGTACAGTACTTGCCCTGGGGCCGGGTCGGGAGGGGGGTGTGTGGTGTGTGTCAATCATCATTACCACAGAACAAGCAAATGAAAAAATAGGGGCTGGGGTGTGACTTAGGTGGTAGAATACCTGCCTGGTAAGCACAAGGCCCTGAGTTCAAACCCAGTACCTCAAAAACTAACAACAAAATAAATAAACACGGCCCTTATTCAGTGGCCATGGCAACGTTGGGACAATGGAGACAGCCTGGTACAGAGATGGCAATGAGATCGTTTTATTGAAAAGGCTTAGCGTAAGTCCATTCGCGCTTCCAGAGCAGGGCTTCGCAATGCAGGCACTACTAACACAGTGAGCAAAGGCACTCCTGGTTGTGGAGGACTGTCTTCTACATTGCACAACACTCCAGCAGCATTCCTAATCTCTGTTTTCTAGAGAACAGGTGCCTGGCCACCCCTCTTCCCTACTGACCATGTTGACAATAAGAACTGTCTCCACCTGGCACAGTGGTAAAAACCTGCAGGAACCTACGGCAGGAGGATGGTCAGTTGGCAGCCAGTCTGGGCTACATATTGCGATCCTATCTCAAAAAAAATAAATAAATAAAAACGCCTCTGAAGATTGCTAAATGTCCTGGAAGAAGGAGCAAAATTTCATCAGTTGTAAATTCTGGTTTACAGAAAATAAATAAGTTAAATTCCACCATAAGGATGCAATCAGGTAAGTCCAGAAAGGGTAGTCTATAGTCTCCTGACTCAAAATGGGGCACAAAGACTAACAATATGTGCCAACACAGCAGCATGTTAGACAAGCAACATCATCCTATCCCTGTCCTGAAATGATAAGAATCAACACTTTAACAAGGCCTATGGGAGGTGGTTAATTCCCGAACCAAACTTTAAGGAGCACAGCTCTACAGAACTATTAGCTCAGATTCTTCAAGTCAGCTGTTGGGGAGCAACAGGGAAGGAGGAAATTGTTTTGGATTTCTACTTAGAGGTGACAAAACATGAGTAGCCTTGAGGTGGGGGGCCAGGATATACCTCAATAGTAGAGGCTTGCTGGGCATGGGGAGGCCCTGGGAATCAATTCCCAGCAAAAACAAAAAAAAAAAAGTTCATTTTGGGGAACTATTAAGGAAATTTGGATGTCACCAGATATTAGATATTATAAAATCATTATTAATTTTGTTAAATGATATTGTGGTTACTTATGCAAATGCTCTTTTTTTGAGGTTTTTCGTAAGAATAAAATGCTAAAATATCTACAATTTACTTTAAAATAAAATTTAGCCAGAAATAGTAACAGCTAAATGCAGGTGTTGGATAAATGGCATCTGGTGTTATTTATTCACTTTTTCTGTTCTTGAATGGCAACATTTTTTAGAATAAAAAGTTTTCAAAGGCTGGGAACTGCTGGGTCACGCCTGTAATCCCAGCTACTTGAAAAGCTGAGATCAGGAGGATCGCAGTTTGAGGCCAGCCTGGGCAAACAGTTCACAAGACCCCATCTCCAGAATAACCAGAGAAAAATGGACTGGAGGTGTGGCTCACGATAGAGTGCCAGCTTTGCAAACGTAAAGCCCTGAGTTTAAAAAAAAAAAAATTTGCAAGGTTTACATATAATGCAATATTCTGGACTAGATCCTAGAATCAAAAAGGTACATGACTAGAAAAACAGGTGAGATGTGGAAAAGTCTGAAGTTAGTGAATAGTAAAATCCACTACCAATCTCCTGGTCTTGGCAAATGTAACTTGGTTAGGAAATGTTAACATCAAAAGAAACTAGGTAAAAGGTGTGTGGGAAATCTGTTTTTTGCACTATTTGCAACTTCTCTGTAAATATAAAATTAAAAAGTTTAACTTAAAAGTTAGTATGACTTTTCAAGTTAAGAAAGAAACAACCCCAATCAATCAATCAGTTAGTCAACAACTGGCATAGCAAAGCACCCAAACATACTTGTAGAA